TTCTTTCCCCGCTGAAGGCGACTGATGTCCTCAGCGAAGCTTTCACGTTGGCTGTGTTCTATCCACATCCGCTCTGCCCTCTGGATGTGCTGCAATGTCGGTCCTTGTGCCCTTCCTCGTACCGTATCGACGAACTGTTAGTACTCGTGCTGAGGCCCTGATCAATCTCTCGTAGGCAGAGAATCGTTCTATGTCTGGCAGGTGTGGAGCGTCCTTGGTGTCGCTCTGGTGCGCCACGATTTCCTCCAACTCTTCATCATCCCCTGCCTTCTCTTCCTGTCGGTGAGGCCATTTGTCTTCGTTCTCGTAAAGGAAGGGCGGTCCTGTGAACCATTTATCGCTTTCTTCTTTGGTTGCGAAATTCATGCGCGTTGCCTGATCTGCTACGTTCTCCGCAGTTGGTATCCACCTCCATTGCTCGGGTGATGTCTTTTCAGCTATCTCCCCTAACCGGTGAGCCACGTATGGAGTATAACGCGCCGTATCATTTTGTATCCAGTGGAGCGCCGTAGTAGAGTCCGTCCAATATACGACCCTATCTGCTACCACTCTGTGCTCGCCTTGCACGAATTGCCCGAGTCGCGCGCCTATCAAGTTCGCCTGCAACTCTAATCGCGGTGTACTTTGCGCCTTGATCGGAGCGCTTTCGCCTTAGCCGCCACTAATCGCACCCTAACCGTTCCGTCGCTGTATCGTATTCGCCAATATGCCACGGATGCGTACGCACGTTCGCTTGCGTCGTTAAATACGTGAAGTTGACGCTCTACCACTCCCCCCGTAGGAGCATAGCACCTTGGCAGTCGCAGTCGTGACACCTCCTCGACGACTTGCAGCCACCTCTGAAATTCCTCCGCTGCTTCCTCGGGTAGTTCGTCATCCCATCCGACCTTCTTCATACGCCATAGGTCTTGTAGCAGGATCTTGGCGGTGATGGTGAGGTAGCTTAACAGTCTGAGCGGGTCAAAAACAGAGATGACTGCGCTTAATGCTTCCCTCTTGGTCGGTGGTCGCTGTAGTGCCTTTACTTCCTGCGGCACCATATTCATCGATGTGTTGAAGGTTACGGCGTCTTCGTCGGCCATCCATAACAACCCTAGGGTTCTGCCTGGGCTGTTTTGCCTTAAGCCTACCTCCTTAGGCTTGCGCGCCAGTAGTTCCTCCGGCTTGTCTTCCAATAGGGCTGCGTGATTAGAATTCCAGCCTGCCAAGGTGAAACCGGCCTTCTGGTGCACTTCCGAATCCTGCCTTGCCGTATTTACCGCTTCCTCTACCGTTGCATAGCTGCCTAAATAGTCGTCCATATAATGATTACGTACGATAGCGTTAAGTGCCAACGGGTGTGTTTCTGCGTGTGCGCGCGCGTTATAATCTCTAACACTATGTGCGAGAAACGGCGAGCTCCTCGCGCCGAAAATCATAGACGTCATAACGTATTCCCGCGGTGGGCTGTGTCGCTCGTGTCCTCGCCAGAGAAACAATTGCGGGGGTTGGTCACGACGGTCGATTTTCACACGCAAGAACATTTCCCTAATATCCGCGGACACGGCTATCTCATTCTCTCTAAACCTAAACAGTATGCGCCGTAAAGTTCCGTAATAAGTCGGGGCCGTCGAGTAAATAGTCATTAAGACATCTACCGGATGCGCGCGCTGCCGCGTCGAACACTACTCTTGTCTTCCCCGGCTTGTTCGGATTCCGTACTGCGAAGTGTGGCAGGTACCAGCTCTTGGGATCCTCTCGCTCCGTCCCCTCGGCTTTCCTTGCGTATCCTTTCGCCAGGAGGTTGTCTATCTGGGCTGTGTAGGCGTCCCGAAACACCGGCGACTGGTCCATCTTCCTTTCAATCGTCCGTAGTCTTCGAGCTGCCATTTCATAGCTGGGTGGCATCCGCACGTTGTCGTCCTTCCATGGCAGTCCAACTTGGTATTGCTCGCCGACTTTCTTGACGGTGCGCTGGAATATGTCGACAGCGCGCTCCTCTTCCCGTCGCAGCCTACTCTTTAGCGAGATACCTATGGAATCTATCTCATACTGCCGTTTGAGGAGTTCCGTTAGCTCCTCGTCCTGACTGGCATGCGTTCGGATGTCCCTATCTGACCGTCCGCTAGTGCTTGCTACGTGTAATACGGTTTCGCCGTCTTCCCTACACGTTAACCGCGGCACGGTTCCCTGAATTACCCACCCTTGTAACGTACGTGCAGCTATGGGCTGCCTTCGACGTCCTATTCTCAATTTACGGGTGATTATTAAATGCCAATTGTCGGCGCCTAATAATAATCTCGGCTTCGTGTCGTCGTAACACACCGAACTCGGTAAGTCGCGTAAGTGCTTTAACCGTAAGCAATCCCTGCTCACAGACTGCGAGCCTGTCTTTAAATCTGCTATCGTTCGCACGCTTATATTATACATCTCACTGCGCGTCTTGCCACGTATCCCTATATTAACTAACCTACTATTGGCCTCGCGTTGACTATTACTTACGCCTCTAATATTGAGCGGCTTTACCGGTCCTTCCGCTCCTAACTCGCGAGCTAAGTTGTCGTCGATCAACGATATGGTAGAGCCTTCGTCAAGTAGCGCATACGTATCAACTTCCTTGCCGCGCGGTCCGCGCACGGTTATGGGGCACACTTTACATAATACAGAGGCACTACTACTAACATTCGACGCGACGAGCACGGTTTCATCCGGTTTTACCGACGCTTCAGGCGTGCGGGTCTTGAGGGTGTGAAGGAGGGCGTGGTGGGGGGGGGGCGTTGCAGCCGTCGACGCCGCACTTCCTAGCTTTACAACGCATGCGTCGGTGTTTGCTGTTTAAGCACCTAAAACACACCCCATCTTCCCTTACCCACTTCCACCGGTCGTCCAAACCCATTTGCGCCAGCTACATTTGGCGATAGGGTGTTCACCCCCACAACACATACACGAGGCACTACCGGTGTCCTCCTGGGCGGTGAACGTCTTTACGTCGCGGGCCCTATCCTCTACGCGACGTGTCAACACTATCCTTTTCGACGGCGGCGCTTCTCGTCTTACGGGCGATTCCTTAGTCGGCGTTACGGACGTATAGGCGTGACTTAACGCACGGTCAGCCTCTCTCATCATAAACCGGGATAGTGTGACAATGTCCGGTTCGTCCGCACTTCCGTAGTGCTCCGCATAATCGCACCAACGCAACCGTAAGTGAGAACTAAGCTTACTCGTAACGTCCCTAGTTAGCATCGGATTTTGTAAATATCCTTTGCCGTCGACGTTTTGCATAATACACACTATATTTTGCAACTTAATAGCGAACGAATTTAACTCCTGGGCGGTTTGACCCGGGCGCGGAAGGCGTTTCAAGTCATCTAACGCACGATCAATAATTACTTCCGGGCGACCGAAACACTGCTCCAGTGTCCGCATAATGTCTGCTGGATCCTTCGCGGTAAACAGCAGCGCCGATACTACCCTAGCCTCACCACGTAAACAGTTCCTTAACCTTGCCATATTTTCCGTGCTGGTGAATCCATACAGACGCGTGAACTCCCTCATCGCGGCTTTAAACGATAACCATTCCGCGGCCGAGCCGTTGAAAATAGGCAACTCCTGTGTCTGCTTCGCGGCGCCTGGTCTAAGTCTTATCATACCTTCTAAGACTTCCGCTAGTCGTTCTATAGCCCTATCTTTCCCTCGCGGGGTGAGCGACCTATATCTATCCCTATTTCCTTCTAGTCTACGCTGTGGCGCTGGCGACTTATGTACACTGACATCCCTATAACACGGCGACGGTAATCTACGATCCACGTGGCGATGTGGCGATTTATCTATACCTACATCATTACACAGCGACGGTAATCTACGATCCGCGTGGCGATGTGGCGATGGCGATCTACGTGCACCTACATCCTTACACGGCGACGGTAATCTACGATCCGCGTGGCGATTTGGCGATCTATGTATAGGCGATAGAGTGCGGCGTTGGACGCGCGACGGCGACGTAACCCGTACACGGCGATCCATCTGGTTCATTTCTACGGCGACTCCATTGTCCCTCTGTATCGTATCTACGCGGCGCGATTGAACATCATTCGCAACCGACCTGGGCATCTTCAGCGTGGTCGTAACCGGTTCCTCTACTCGGCGGGGCCTGCTCTATCTCGATGCGGGGCGCGGGCTGAGACGGGCGGTAGGGCGGCTCCCCCCGCACAGTCTCCACGTTCTCTAACCACCTATCAACGCGTACCCTATTTTCCACTAATTCGTCTTCGTTTAAACTTTCCCTATCCGTTTCTTCTTGCAGTTGAGCGATGTCCCTAGCGTATTTCTTCTTGATGAGATCTTCTTCGATTTGCAATTGCTTCCTTCTAATTGCAGCTAGTTCCTCCGCGGTATTATACTCGATTTGTTTTAACTTTGCTATTGCGCTAGCTGTCGACCGGGCTGAACGGACTGAACGGACCGACGGGGCGCGGGGCGCGGGGCGCGGGCCTATGTACAACTTCTGCTACAGGCGCGACGGTACGCACTATCGAACTAGTCTCTGTAATCGGAAGATCTTCTATAATCGCGGCGAGCGTCTCTGTACGCGGCGCGAATGTGCTAACCTCTCCCAAGCGATCGGTTGTAGACACGGACATAGCGGGGCGCGGTGGCGCGGGCGCGGGCGCGGGCATAGATGCGGGCGCGAGAATTTAATTGTTGCAAATGGACTGTATGACTGACTACCCTAGGGGACTGCTCAAAGAAAAGATGGTACTGTAGAACTATACTGTATTTTTTATTGTATTTAGTACTCGCGCCACATAATTTTTTTTCGACGAAATAAACGCTAGGCTAATTTCACGAAGGTCATTTCCGAGATGTGCAAAGTATTATGAACATAGTCACGTTGTAACTAAGTTTAAACTCGCAAGTTTGCTATTAGAGAGTGATCCTTCTGTTCTTTCAACTATATTCTATGATATTAGTACATATTATGATGTTTCGAGAAATTGAAGCGAGCGAATGACATGTGACAGGACGTCGCGGAGGCGGTGCAGGCGGTGGCGAAGCACGGACGCGTTCTGGCGGCTGGCGTGTCGCTGGGCGGGCTGCTGCTGGGTCGCTACCTGGCCGAGTACGGGGCCGCCGCACAAGTGCACGCCGCGCTCGTCGTGTCCTCGCCGCTCGACGTGCCGCGAGGTACAGTGTGTCTCGTGGAGTTCTGTGTCGCTGGGCGGGCTGCTGCTGGGTCGCTACCTGGCCGAGTACGGGGCCGCCGCACAAGTGCACGCCGCGCTCGTCGTGTCCTCGCCGCTCGACGTGCCGCAAGGTACAGTGTGTCCCGTGGAGTTCTGTGTCGCTGGGCGGGCTGCTGCTGGGTCGCTACCTGGCCGAGTACGGGGCCGCCGCACAAGTGCACGCCGCGCTCGTCGTGTCCTCGCCGCTCGACGTGCCGCGAGGTACAATGTGTCCCGTGGAGTTCCGTGCCGCTGGGCGGGCTGTTGCTGGGTCGCTACCTGGCCGAGTACGGGGCCGCTGCACAAGTGCACGCCGCGTGTGTCCCGTGGAGTTCTGTGTCGCTGGGCGGGCTGCTGCTGGGTCGCTACCTGGCCGAGTACGGGGCCGCCGCACAAGTGCACGCCGCGCTCGTCGTGTCCTCGCCGCTCGACGTGCCGCGAGGTACAGTGTGTCCTGTGGAGTTCCGTGCCGCCGGGCGGGCTGTTGCTGGGCTGCCGCACAAGTGCACGCCGCGCTCGTCGTGTCCTTGCCGCTCGACGTGTTGCGAGGTACAGTGCACACAGTGCAGCAGTGTCGTGACCCGTGTCCCGTGCCACCGGGTGGGTATGTACTTGGAAGTTTGCTGTGTGCAAATTATGTGTGTAAACTGCCTCCACAAAACGGGAGAAATAGTGTGGAGGTAATATTTTTTATCGTGGACGGCCGTGTGTTTTACGTGAATACGTGTACGTTACAAAACAATCTTATAATTGTGATGCTCTCCTCTCCGCTGCGAGCGAAGCGTCAAAGTTGAGTGCAACATAATGAATTATTGGAACTATTAGCATCGAAAGGTATATCTAATTAAAGTTTGGATGTAGAATATAGATAGACGTAGGTGCAATGTATACGTAGGTGATGTTGATTCTTAATTGAAAATTTCTGTGGGCCTCAGCATTCATTTTCCATTAGGTTGACTAATGTGCTCTTTTGTCACTTTTCTTCTATAAAATAATATTATTGAACATTTGTTAAAGGCTCGATAATTTTTGGTGTTTCGAGCCGGACCAAGCTAGGTCGGTAGGTCGGTAGGAGCGTGCCGTGAGTAAGGCGGTGGTGTGGCGCAGGGTCGCAGAGCATCGAGCGGTGGGGGCTGAACGCGGCGCTGTCGTGGCACATGGCGCGGCAGCTGCGCGGCACGGTGCGCGCGAGGTTGCCAGCTGCGGCGGAGCGCGTGCGCGGTTGCCGCTCGGTGCGCGCGTTCGACGCGGCGTTCACGGCGCCGCACTTCGGGTTCGCGTCGGCCGACGCGTACTACCGCGCCGCGTCGCTGCGGCCGCGCCTGCACGCCGTGGCGCGCCCGCTGCTCTGCCTCTGCGCCGCCGACGACCCCTTCCAGCCCCTCGAAGGTACCTTTCGCTAATACTTAGCGTACACGTACACGTACAGCGGTTGCAATCACGCTTGTAATTTTATGTACAATGAACACTTTTAATCGTTAGTTTGCCATTAATGCATACTAACTCATGTCAATAATAGGTGTACGATATTTAATGTCAGATTTAGGTCACGAAAATCATTAAAAATATGTTGAATCTAAAATATGATGATGACGACGATGATGACAAATAACCGGTTCAAAAGTATAAAATGTTGCAGTGTGTCTCACGGTATCCATAAATGTTTTACCTATTATAAATTACATATTTTAAAAACCTCAAACAAAATTTCATCAGCTTTAAATCACATTGATAAATTGTATAAATTCACCTAACTATTTTTTATTATTCACTATACTATTTTAAAATATTATCTCCTTATACCTAGATTTACATACTTACTCCCATCGAGTCCAGTCTGAAAATGGTGGATTATTTTAAAAGACATTGATAAAAATTTTAATTTAAAAACTATAAAAAAAATATTCTAAATTTACTTTAAATACAATAGCTTGAATTCAAACTACTTTACCTATAAAATTTGGTGATATTGATGTGAGAAATCTTTCTAGTGTTGCATTGCCTGCTTTCCTTGTTTCCGTGAATAGTGTCAGTGAATTATGTAAAATAATTTTAAATAATAAAGTAAACCTGTGCATTGCTACGGAGTCAGGACAGACATGGCAAACGCTCTATCCCGGCGAAAATTTTGACTAAGAAATCTAGTCATTGGTTATTACACGTTTTACCATCAAGTAATCTCGGCACTTTACTTGATGGGGAAAGCTTGTTCATCGCCAAAGGAATCCGACTAGGAACGGCGATTTGTCAACCTTGTTAGTGCCCCTGTGGTAGCAATGTCGACAAGTTTGGGCTCCACGGACTTTCATGTAGGAAAAGTGCTTGTAGGTTTTCACGTCACGGTTCTTTGAACGATGTCATCCGAAGGGCTCTTGTCTTTATAAATGTTCCCTTGGTTTTAGAGCTTTGTGGAATATTTAGAGACGATTTGTCTCTTGGCAAAGAGGTAAAGCCCTGGTCTGGGATGCTACTTGCGTAGACACTTTGGCAGCCTCTCATTTCAGAGGTACCTCGTTTAGAGCCGGGGCGACATCAGAAGTAGCTGAACTGTGTAAGTAGCGTAAATATGAGTTTTTGAGAGATGACTGCATATTTGTGTCACCGCACGTGGACCCCACAGACTAGAGTCTGTGGGGTCCACGTGCGGTGAAGTTCCTAAAGGAACTCCATTCGCAACTGGTCGTCGTTGCTGGTGATAAGAGGGCTGGTTTTATTTCGCGCTCAAAGGCTAAGTATAATTATTCAGCGAGGAAACGCAGCCAGCGTTTTTGGCACGATACCGAGGGGAGTAAGACTGTATGATTGTTACGGCCTACGGCTGCTCCATTAAAGGGTCAAATCGTCAGGGGCCCATGAGCTGAAGACTTCCCGAGCAGACATAGGTCGGGCCTCAATGTGGCTACGTGGAATCTCTCTAATTACACTAAAATATATGGGGGAGCGTTCTATAATACGGCCAGTCGACCGGGAAGAATTTGGACGTAGCTTACTTACCTATATCCAAGGCGACTGGTCCCTCCGGAGTCGGTCAGGTCGCATGTGGTTGTGTAGTGCAAGGAAAATAAAGTGATGTGATGTGTATCTGGGTGTGACTGATGGTGATTGAACCTAGACCTTGGCCGTCGGCAGCAGCCCGAGCGTCGACACCGTTCCAACTTCAGGGGGCCTTCCGAGGTTGTCCACAGTCACTTTCCTCTTTCGTTACGATGACAGTCAATTACCTCTATCGTACGATTAACTAAATTACAGAAGCCACTAACTATCGCTGGGTATAAGGTTAACTCACAAAACGCACACGGAGTTTCTGGATCAAAGGTCACTACCGTTTCGCGTAGCAACAGTTAGTTCTAGAATATCAGAGGCCGCACTAGCTAATATGGCCGAATGCACTTATGCAGATTTTGAGTCAGACACAATGAGTCCCTGGGAAGCTCTCCAGCAGGAATGCGCGTCACAATGGTAGACCGTATATTTACTGGCCGCGCCGAATTATTCCGAGTTCCCGACAAAATGACAGCGTGCCGTTCCAAGCACAGCTGGCAGGCGACTGCCTGCCCTTGTGCGTTTTTCGCACGACCGAAAGTCAAACCGGTATGAATGCACCGCGCCGAGCGCCCTCTCGCGTCAATCCTTGAAACTAGCGCTTGGCGCGAACAAACCCCCGTCCCGGACATAAGGATTTAGGTCCGCGAGCAAACCGGTCAGCGGGACAAGGTCGCGACGGCAAGTTGCAAGACCGAATCTACAGCCAAACTAGGCCACCTTAGGCACCCCAGCAGATCTTGCAACCCTAACCAACGCCTCAAAATTACCGCCCCAACGTGGGCAAGCCGGAGGGTCAGCCTCCACTGGATGTCCCTCCTGGGCATCGCAGCACTTTAACAAGTCCTGTACTGGACAGAAGTTCGACGATCTCTTTTAAACACCTATCTGTGCCCCTATGATTAGTTCCGCAATCCGACCGGATCAGCTCTGCAACCAGCGGCGCTACACGAAGCTGCCTAGACAAATTTTGTGCTAGCAGTTGCTTCAGTGCAGAGCGCACCCACAAATTCCACATGAACGTCGTCTGTGGAGAACCGAACGAAACGCACAGATAGTCCCTAGTATGAATTTTCAACAAGTAGGCCTAGCCAGGCCACCCACCATATTATCATTTACTAAATAGTGCGGCAGCTGATTTCAATCTGTAATCTCCAAAACTAGCTAGCCTGTTAGACAAGTAGTCCTATGCTCATATTTCAACTAATTTTTCAAAAGCATCAATGTTCAACTACAGAATCAATTCAACCAAATTAATCACCGATGCGCATAGGTCAACTTGCAAATTAAACAAAACAATAACGTAAGGGACAGCCCTACTTCTTCGCAAAGCAAAATTATTAAACACTATCATAAACATATTCATAATATTTCAAATAGCGCGCCATTCAATTTCCTTTCAGCAAACAGACGCAACAATCAAATACAGTGATTAAATATTGTTACGGATCGCCGTAACGCCGTTCGAAAAATGAGTGAAACACGTTGGTCTTGCATAAACTGGAGGCAAACGGCGGTGAGGAGGAACTTTTTCTTTTCTTGCTGTTGTTTTCTTTTCTGTAGCTGGAAAGCGACTGCCGACCGTTCCGGCCGGCCCGTCTTATATACTATTTGGCCGTTGCTGGCCAGCGGACCCTTGCCTCACCCCCGCGCCTTTCTTTATTAGGTAGATCTCTTAAAAACTAATGTACAGACTTAAATATATTACATTCTTACAATTACTTATTAAACTAATACTTATATAACAATTTTTCTACATAGTAAAGGCTAAAACGTTGTTATTCCAGCAATTTTGAGCTGAGGACCCTGCCCCCCGCCTCAGTACTATAAATATAAAACGTCGTGGCGCGGCGCGCGTAGCCTCATTCGCTCCGCGGCCGCGTCACGGTAACATGCCCTGTTTATTATTTATCGTACCTAAGGGCTTAATATATATGAAATTAAATTGCACTATACAAGGGAATATACTTTACATACAATACTTATTCTACAATTTGGCATTAATTAATTTCTATATTCTAAATCTATGTTAACTCTCGCCATTTGTTCGGTGCCTTTATTGCGAGAGTTATTACATAGTTACAATATTATTTATTTAACAATAAATCTATATTTCTCAATATTATTGCTACGGCTTTTCCCGCGTTGCTGTGGGCAACCACCGCTAGTTGTGGAACCGTGAGCGCGGCCTGACGATCATAACATCCTCCTGGCCCCGCCCACCGCCCCTAGGTTGTTCAACTAGCGATGGTTACCACAAGCAATCCGTAAGTCATTTCGTTCGACGTATTACTATGTTTGCGTCGTGCACAAATATATGTACAAAACACATGCAGTAGCATTTAAAGGATTAGATTAAATTCAATTCTTTTAATTTAAACCGCTACAAATAGGAAAATTTAGCGGAAAGCCCAAAGCATTTTTTAATTTTAATTCAAGTATTTTTTGACTAAGTGCTCGACCAAACCAAATCTAATACCCCTTGACAGCGTGATTCAATGCTCCAGAGGGGCCCTAATCTTCCCACCACCAAGGGGAGGCCACATGGCGTGAACCCGAGATCAATAGAGCACAACCTTTAACAGTCGCCACTCGGGTTGTACGCCTTCACTGAGGCCGTCGGCAACAGAATATTTTGACAAGTGGACTGTTGACGGCTTAAGGCTCAGTGGAGGTGGCCGTGGTGGGAGCTAAGGCGGCAGCTAGCCAGGGCCGCCTCCATCAAATGGGGAACAGTGGTACACCAGTCGCGGCCACTCAGCCAACGGGAGTGAGAAGGGTCCAGCGGATCGATGAGTGGCCGTGAAGTTCCTCTCCACACGCTGAGGGGGGTAATGACACCCCCGCCCCTGGGGAAATTACCCCCGACTGGTCGGGGGAGGGGCCCCTTTCAAACTTAGGGGCCTGGTGGCTGGCCGGCGGGCGCCGATTGTCGCCCGGCAGAGGGCGTGGCTGAGCGCCCCCGCCCGTGGGGGTCGTGGGCCTGGCAGAGCCCCGAGAGGAGACGCCGTTCGCACCCAGGCACAAAACTGCATGGTGATTGCCCTGGCAATGCAGACAGGGCCGTCGATGCGGACAGTCTCGCTGGAGGTGCCCTCCCAGACATGAACAGCACTAGCGGCGCTCCTTGGCGATATTTCGCCTCGCCGAAACCGACTTACCTAATAATTTCGGCCACGACGTTACCCGATGATCAGACGCTCGACAACAGGAGCAGGGGGGGGTTGACGACGACTTGCCTGGGGGATTCAGCCTCTCACTGGGCACGGCTCGTAAGTCGTCAACGGTGCCCGCCGCGTTATCTATCTGCCGGCACAGCTCCTCCAAAAACCGCAGCAGGTCATAGAAGGGCGGAATATAGGAGGCCTCGTCCCCGCCGTACCTCTCCTCAAAATGGATTCGAAGGTCGAGAGGTAGATGGGACAGCACGATGCGAAGCAACAAAAAAGCCCATTCGCCCACTGGTAAACCCAGCCGCCTCAAGGTATTACAGGCCACCAAGACTGGATCCAACAGGTCCGGACGCAGTCTGGCCCGGTCACTAAGCAGCGGGAGGCTTAGAAGCTGCTTAATATGTTCGTCCGGAATTCGCCGGACGTTGGCGTATCTTCTGGCTAGGAGGACCCGAGCAGTCTGGTAGGCGTCGTCCGACAATCTCAAGTGGCCGACGACGCCCAGGGCCTCCCCCTCCAGTGAGGCCAGGAGGTACGCCATCTTTTGGCTCGGGGTCAAGTCACTCCGGGCGTCCACTAGGCTGTCGAAAAGACCAACGAAGGTCAGCCAATCGGAAAGGACCCCGGAGAACTTTGGCAGGTCCAGAGTTGGGAGCCGTCCCAACAGCTCCGGCTGAAGCTGCTTCCGAGAGGACTCGGGCAGGCCACTCATCCGAGCTTCACGCGCCTCCTCGGCATACAAGCCTTCAGCCTCGATCAACTCGTCCGTGAGCCAAAGGAACTGCTCATAGTCCGCGAAGCAGGAGTCCAGGACTCCCTTCTCCACATCCGAATCCTCGAGTTCAGTGTAAGCCTCCTCCACTGCGGCCCTTCGAACATCCACCTGCTCGAACCGCTTCATCAAGTTATGGATCCTATCCGGTCTACCTATCAAAGCATGGGCGCTTATGGCCCAGCGCAACTCAGTCCGCAGACAACTGATCAGTACCTTGGGCGATGACATCACTACTAAATACAAATTACGATGCGGCTCGAGCGCAAATTACAAAGATAACAAATAAAAAATACAACAAAAAATTAATAGTTAATAAATGCAGTTCCTATCAAATCGCGTTGAATAGATATTACACAAATACGAATTACTACGTATCAACCAAATACAAGTTAGCACAAAAGACAGACACAAATCAAATTAACAAATACTAGTGCGATCAAATCAAGTTAAATTCAAATGGCGCAAATACAAATTACTATACAAACGAAGATACACATCACGGTCGATCAACAAAAAATGCCTAGCTCGGAAATCGACCCTTCGATAAATAATCCACTACAACTATCCGACAACGATAATTAACCGATACGTAAAAATAACCATCTACCTACATGACGTATGTCTCTAGAAAAACTCCCGCTTGCGCAACCTAGGGCGCGGCTTTTCAAACTACCCACTAACCAAAAAAAGGCAAGCAACAAACAACAAAGGGAAATAATTTTATTATTACGTACAAAAAAATATTTTTACGTATTACGGACGGGCGTGATTGTAGATACAAATTAAACCAATCAAACCAACGCTCCCTGCCACCAGAATTGTTTAATTTTTATCAAACACTATGGTCGGGATCGACCGGGGAATCGAACCCGGAACCACGCTCTGCTACCAGTTTGTTACGGCCTACGGCTGCTCCCTTAAAGGGTCAAATCCTCAGGGGCCCATGAGCTGAAGACTTCCCGAGCAGACATAGGTCGGGCCTCAATGTGGCCACGTGGAATCTCTCTAATTACACTAAAATATATGGGGGAGCGTTCTATAATGCGGCCAGTCGACCGGGAGGAATTTGGACGTAGCTTACTTACCTATATCCAAGGCGACTGGTCCCTCCGGGGTCGGTCAGGTCGCATGTGGTTGTGTAGTGCAAGGAAAATAAAAGTGATGTGATGTGTATCTGGGTGTGACTGATGGTGATTGAACCTAGACCTTGGTCGTCGGCAGCAGCCCGAGTGTCGACATCGTTCCAACTTGAGGGGGCCTTCGGAGGTTGTCCACAGTCACTTTCCTCTTTCGTCACGATGACAGTCAATTACCTCTATCGTACGATTAACTAAATTACAGAAGCTACTAACTATCGCTGGGTATAAGGTTAACGCACAAAACGCACACGGAGTTTCTGGATCAAAGGTCACTACCGTTTCGCGTAGCAACAGTTAGTTCTAGAATATCAGAGGCCGCACTAGCTAATATTGCCGAATGCACTTAAGCAGATTCTGAGTCAGACACAATGAGTCCCTGGGAAGCTCTCCAGTAGGAATGCGCGTCACAATGGTAGACCGTATATTTACTGGGCGCGCCGAATTATTCAGAGTTCCCGACAAAACGACAGCGTGCCGTTCCAAGCACAGCTGGCAGGTGACTGCCTGCCCTTGTGCGTTTTTCGCACGACCGAAAGTCAAATCGGTATGAATGCACCGCGCCGAGCGCCCTCTCGCGTCAATCCTTGAAACTAGCGCTTGGCGCGAACAATGATAATTAAGTTACTAGTTTTAGGTTTTTTTTTATTATAGTTTTTAATATTGAATATAATAAAAAGTATATAAATTGAATTGAGTAATAAACAGGAATTGTAAGATAAAGATTGTGTGATTAAACAACGTGATTAGAACGTAAGCAATAAGATTGTGTGGGCGGGCAGCGCTGCCGGTGGGCGAGGTGTTGTCGAGCGCGAGCGTGGCGCTGAGCGTGCCGGCGCGCGGCGGACACATCGGCTTCCTGGAGGGGCTGTGGCCCGCGCGCGCCCCGCACGCGCAGTACCTGGCGCGCCTCGCGCTGCAGTACTTCGCCGCCACCGCGCGCCTGCCGCCGCACGCCCCGCCGCACGCCCCGCCGCCGCCCACAACAACGCCATCACCACCACCCACAATAACATCACCACCACCCACAACAACATCACCATCACCACCACCGACAACAACACCACCAACACCCACAACAACACCACCAACACCCACAACAACACCACCATCACCCACAACAACACCACCATCACCCACAACAACACCACTATCACCCACAACAATACCACCATCACCATCACCGACATTCACTTAACACTAAGCTATTCAAATACAGACCAACCTTAACATAAAGACAACGTTGCGAAAACCTAAAACTAAAAATCTTTCATGTGTGCCTGAACTCAATGTTCCCATCCTAATAAAATTTCTGGCAACTAATAAAACTAAATTCGAACAAAAAAATAAAATAAAATTATAATAAAAATTTATAACAGTTTTATAAAAGCTCTTCTAAAAGGACCACATTTTCCGGCTATGTATGTGGCTGCAATTATTGGCAAACATTACCCGGCCATCACAAAAACATTTTGTTGCACTTTTTGACTGAGCGATCAATTGCTAGACGACATGTTGCAATACGGGCCACACAATTAAAGATAAAATCACACGCAGTAAAAGTAAAAACTTCAAATAAAATGTAATATAAAACATAAACATTTCACAACCAATAATTTATTTAATTTAAAAATTTTCAACAACAAGTGCGACATATAATATAAGATAAAAGTTTAAACTTATAGCAAAATAAATGTTACAATCCTTATTTTTAGAAATATAAAGTCTAAATTTTAATATATTAAATCAAACGGATATTTTCTTGCGACTAAAATTGTAATTTTTTAATCCTTTATTTGAGTTAAAAGTTATATTAACCATTTTAAAGCACACAAAGGAGACCAAGATAAATAAGAAACACTTTATACTTAACTAGCTGTTCTCCGCGGTATCACCAGCGTACATCACGCGTCTGAGCCGTGCTGCTGGTTTCTCGCGACTGGAGTTTTGAATTATTTAAATTTTTCGTTATCTTTTAAACCATGGAAGCATGGTTTAAATAACAAGTTTATCTTCATAAAATTGCCTTGATGGTGAAGTAACTTTCGTTTGTAAAGATATATATACCATGCCTAATAATAACGCTCATAAATTACTTTTTAATGTTCAATAAATTTTGGTCACAAAATATATTATTATTGCTTATGTATAAGAAATAGGCCTATAGTATCCCAGACTTTTTTTTTTATATAAAGAAAAGATCTATATTTTTGTTAAACATAATATTTACGTATTACTAACCATTACGCTAGCGCACGCAGATAAAGCAGTTCGGGAGTGATTTTTAACTCAGAGTTAGATAAGCCTAATATTTCTCGTGAATTTGGTTATTATATACCAAAAAAAAAAATTAATCGTACTAGTAGTTTTAGAGATCCGAGTGTTTAAACAAACAAAAAAACATCTTCCGCATTATTACATGAGTATAGATTCTGTCTCATTCTCTCTTACGGCCTATCCTATAGATTTATTATTTGTCGGTTGTAGTGTCGCTTTTTCGTTTCATTAAATTTCAAATCACAAAGATGTTAAAGAAGTTTTTACTTCAATAAAAATATTTTTTAATATCTTTGGGAACGACAGTCGCGGTTATTTAAAAATAACACTTTACTCCCAAGTCTAGCACAGATAACTATATACTATCGCGATGAATTGCGCAGCACACTTCACGTCGCGTAGAAAGTGATACGCAGCTTACTTCACATCGCATCGATAGGGAAAAAGGGATGCACATATACAGTAAAACAAAATAACAGTACAGATGGCCCAGTAACATTGCAGTATTTTCGATTGCGAAGCGATTGTTCAGCCACACCCCGGCTACACATGAAAATCTTTTGACATACCAAAAGTATGTGGTTATTATTGCCGGATCATACTTAAAATATTGCGTAGTATGATCGGTATTGCTAGCAATGTTGCCGGCCACAGTATTGCAGCCACATATTGTTGGAAAACATGGCCCGTTTAGACGAGATTTAACCATAAATGGATGATATTTAAAACGTAACGGTGAACAGTTATTTTATCAGAATTTCTGGTAGATCTTTACAGCTTTACAGTGTTTGATATCGCTAGAACACATTGTATTTTTCATTCCATATTTAATATACAATGTCGGGACAGAAACTGAAAAGCGATGCGATGAGAGATGAGCATGGTATTAGGTGCATATTTGAACGGGAGTGTGTGTTCTTACTATAAGCTGAGCATGGATTTTGGATCACTTGAAATGTATGTAGCGTTCAGTCTTTATCTTTAAGTTGATCCGACTTCAAAAGACAATAACAAACTTGAAATTATGAGTGAGATGCGGTACGCCGCGAGTGTAATCCGCGCAAAACTAGCTCAACGATTTTATTGTAAACCTTATTTATATTATGCTTTAGGAATTAATAACGCACAACACACAATACTATCACTAAAATAAGTAACAAATAGTAATAATAATAGATAAATTTAGTTGTTGAATCTCTAGACAACATTCACTTTTTCTGAGCCTAAAATACGACTACTAGTGAACTAATATGAAAAATCTACAATAAAGGATATAAACTAAATCCATAGCATTACATTTACACGTTAATAAGTTAAGTTTTTGTTTAATAGATAAATTTACTTTATATATATACTTTATAGAATTAAAAAGCTGTTTGACGTAGTTGTTCAATAAAACTCATTATTATGCAGACATATTATATTCAAGTGCACTTAATTTTTCACTAAATATTACAAAATCCATGTGCATACACCGTTGTCTTACTTATCGCAATGTATGACAATAAGCACAAAGAGATTATTATAATATAAATAAACCATATATAAGTACATTTTATTACTGACGAATTTATTAAGGCACGCATATTAACTTGTACAATTTTTGAATAGATGATAACTGTAGCGCTTCTCAAAAGACGGACACTATGCCACGGCACTACCGCTGCACTACTAAAACTAAATTCACTAGTAAATAAATAAAACAATTCTCAAGAGGTAACTAAGGGTATATTATCAATGAAACAAAATTACTATACGAAAGCAACGTAAACTTTACAATGGTAATAGTTTTACAGTTAAGGATAATAAATAATGTATGCTGGTGATGACGTCGCCATGTTGTGTTCCAGTGAGGGCTCATAATCGTCCGTTCAGCCGTTCACCGGTTGTCGCTGGTTGGAACTGAGATGAAGTTTTTGTTACACAATGTTATTTAATTGAGAAGTTGCTTTTTAAATTAAAAATTTAACTCTTTTTAATTTTGTTTCTTTTAGGAATTGTGTATTTTCCTTTATTCTTTTCGTTATTAATATAAAATTTAACTATTATTATTACAGAAATAAAACATTAACCCCTAACTAATTAACTTCTTCGCCATGTAATCTGTCAAATATTTCACCTGGTTCCTAAGTGGCGCCGCCCTGGTGGCAAGTCGCGGATGTCCTGATTAGTGTTATGAAGTGCAGCGGTGGTGCAGTGAGCCTGTGAGCTAGCGCAGTCACTTCCACATTGCTATTGCAACGACGTAGGGTTATAAGGATATCGAAGCTTTTGCTTGGCTGTAACATGTAACAAAGTATTATAATATTAGCAAAGCGAAGAGGACAATTCAATTGAAACTGTGATGTATGTTATTCATTAAATATTTTAAAGTTGTTTCTTGTATTACTGTTACGTTGTATTTAAAATTCACCGTTGCGGTGACATTGTTTTTAATAATTACCATAAAAATTAACCTAGGTGTAGAATTCGATTATTGTTTTAAGACTTTCTGTTTAAATTTGTATACAAGTGATTAAATTAATTGGCAGTTTTGTTTTGCACAATTATTGACAAAAAAAGGTGCTTCGAGGTTATATTCCGAAACGGCTAGGTAATTTATCAAATTGTTATATCAGATAGGTTTATTGAATTATTATATAATGGCATAGCATTATTTATTGTATTTACAAATATACGTCCAAAGAGATAATAAAAAATAATATAAGTCTGTGATGAAACGGCACGAGGCACCGCAGTCCCACAGCCGTGGCCCGCGCACATATCGACCCACTTTGTATTGTTTATATGAGAAATAAACTCATGGGAACCAATGTTTGTTTTATTTATGCACACAATCTAATGTTATATAATATTTCTTCGGGGAAATGTCAAGAATTCTATTTTGTTTTGTTCTATGTTGTTTTTCTATTGTTTATAGTGCTCGAATAAGTTAGTGTTGGTATGACGATGCGCCACTCGTCCTATCCTCCACAAGTCCGACGGGGCCGCACCGTTGATGCGGTGGTGGTGGAGCTGTGGGTCAATATTGCGAGGCGCCGCTCTCCCTAACCTCTGCGACTGATAGGGAGAGAAGAGGGGGAGAAAAAATCTTCCCCTAAGGAAGTGGCTGACATCGTGCGGCCGGCGCAAGTGAGGCCGCGAATGAGAGCGAAAGCATTGCCGTGGCCCTGCCAATATGCGGCGAAGGTGGAACACCATGAGGTTTTAGTCGGTGCGAGTCCGATATAACCTGTCCTTGCCCATGCGAGGCGGGTATGCGTAGGCATTTCCCCATTAAAAAAAAATTAAAAAGGTGTACATGGACTGCAGTAGCCACTTACCACCAGATGGACTGTAAGATCGTTATCAATACTTTTGAAATTTGCGATATATTATTAATGCGCGATCCATATTATTAATTATGCCTGGAATAAGAAGCTTCCCGAGAAATTATGCAATTTCGTCACCAGTTTTCTCGCAGATCGGATTATCAAGTACTCGGCGGCGCTTGCTCGAGATTCCAAGTCTGTAAGTGCTGGTATGCAACAAGGCTGAGTTCTGTCACTTACTTTGTTCCTTTTGCATAATCGGCGTCGACATAGTGACGTTCAGTTCCACGGTCACAGAAAAAAAGGAAGGGCTCTTAAAATCATGGCGTACTCAATAAAGTGGACAGCACGGCGCAAGTTCGGCATCACGTGGAAGCCTGTTCTCGTGTCTGGGGGCACCCCAGTGTCAGTTTCTTCCACTTGACCAAATCTAGCGAAGAGCGACTCGAATCGTCAAGGACCAAGTTGTTTAGATAGGCTGTACTCACTGGCGATGAATATGCAAAGGGATGTAACATCTCTTTGCGGGTAGTAGCATATTTCTAATAACGGCATACTAAAAAACTGCAGTTGCCAAACGTTACAACAATGGCAAATTCACTATCTATGG